CCTCTGAGATGTCCTTACGTCCTTTTGACATGCCCCTATTGGTTTTGTTTTTTGTTTCTTGGTTTTTTTGAGTGTTTCCTTACTCTCTAGCACAGTAACATATTCCAGGCTCATTTTATACCTTCTCCGTTCTAGTCCTCAAGTCAATCATTTTTTAAAAAGAACTCTTTTAATAGCATGTAGAACCAAGATATGGGAAGTAGGTGTGCTTCACTACTACTGGGAGTGACACTCTACACTTCTAGACCTTTCCTACAGAAGACCTAGGAGACTTCCCGCCCCCTCCATGATTCTGATATCTATAACTTCAATCCCATTAGCTTATTTATAGCTTAAAAAGCTAATGCATTAAACAATTACGTTCTCTGCAGTACTGTGTGAGTCGTACTGAGGATGCAATACTACCCCTCATAACTCATAGTTGCTTAAATCTAGGCGTCTGATCAGCAGGTGGATTTAGAAAAATAAGCATACCACCAAAATTCCTATTGTTCATGCAGTTTCACTCAGTGCTTAAATCCTCAGAGTATCCATATGAATAATGACTGGGTCCAAATAGTAGTAACTAATAGTTTCAAGACTTCTACTTCTGGAAAAATAGAGTAGATGTACTTTTCCCTATTCTCCCCACCTAAGTACACATAGAAACACCTGTACATCATTTATAATAAAAACATAAGAAGACTGTCAGTGGTGGACAGAAGAATGTAAGCTGATTAGGAATCTTAGTATCCAAGGAATGACACGGTGGTAAGTTTCCAATTCCTTTTTGCCCCATATATACAGATTTAAGAGCTGAAGAAGCTGGCAACTCAGAAAACACCAAAAGGAGTAGACAAATAAAAGCCTGCTCTCTCTAGTCAAAGGGACCAGGAAAGGGACAGCGTAGCATGACAGGAAATCTTTAGGCAATAATCAGTCTATTCCAGCCAATACTACAAAAATAAAAAACAGAACCAAAAAACCCCAAAACAAAAATTAAAAAACTGTGGCCTCACCCCTAACCATGAAGCAAAGGCCTTGTGATGAGGCTAAATTTGCAAGCTCACTAGGAACCAAGACATGATCTCTGCCCGGTAATAATCAGCGCCTCCTTGCCACATGGTCATTGGAGACCACAGACCGCCACAAACATTGACTACAGCCCAATGGTAATGAGGCCACCCTCCTCTCCTCCAGTGACGTCAATCAAAGCCGCATGAGAAAAAATCGGCAAGGATACAGAAGAACTCATTAACACCATCGAACAAAAGAATGGAACATTTGTAGAACATTCTATCCAACAACAGCTGAAAGACATTCTTTTTACATGCCTTTTGAACATACAGCAAAATAAACCACATTCTGGATCATAAAACAAAACATTTTTAATGAAAAGAACTGAAAACATAAAAAGTGTTACCCAACCACAATGGAATCAAACTAGAAATACCAAAAAGGTAATAGAAAAATCTCCAAACACTTAGGATCTAAACAATATATATCTGCTAAATATCCATGGGTTAGAGAGGAAGTCTCAGATAATTTAAAAAGAATACACTAAACTGAATAAAAATGAAAATAGAACTTATCACAATTTGTGGGATACAGTTAAAGTAGTACTTAGAGGGAAATTTACAATACTAAATGCATACATTAGAAAAGAGGAACAATCTCTAATCAATTTTCTGAGCTACCACCTCAAGAATCTAGAAAAAGAGTGAAATAAGAACAAAGGAAGCAGAAGTAAATAATAAACAGAAATCAATAAAAAATTGAAAAGAGAAAAAAATCAGTGAAAAAGGTCAGTGAACCTGACAAACTTCTAGGTAACACTAATAACAGAAGAGAACACAAATTGCCAATTATCAGGAATGAAACGGGATATCACTACAGTCCTGCAGACATAAAATGCTGTCTTACAGAAGAAAACTACAAACAATTCTACACACAGAAATCTGAAGCTTATATAAAATTCCTTAAAAGACAACTATCAAAACTTACACAAGGAAAAAAAATACGTAATCTATATAGCCTTCTATTAGAGAAACAGAATCAATAATAATCTTCCAAAAAAGAAAGTCCCAAGCCCAGATGGTGTCACTGGTGAATTCTACCAAATATTTAAAAAAGAAATCATCTCTTCCAGAAAATAAAAGCAGATGGAACACTTCCTAAACTCATTCTATGAAGCCAGCATTACTCTAATACCGAAATAGAAAAAGACGTTACAAATAGGGAAAACTAGAGAACAATATCTCTGGCGATGGAAATGTTCTGTGTCTTGAATGCATCAATGTCAATATCCTGGTTGTGATGCCACACTACAGTTATGCAAGAGGTTACCACTAATGGAAAGTACTACAGAGGGTACAGGGGACCTCTTTGTATTATTTCTTATAACTGCATGTAAATCTACAATTATGTCAAAATAAAAGTTTAATAAAAATTTCAAAGAATACAGTTATTAACCCTTACAATACCAAAGCATTACTGAATTCTAAAGTCACATGCACTATTTGAGAAAGCAAATGTTAAAAGTCATTATTATAAGAAATTTTAAAAGAATCATTTAAAAAAGCAACTTGGTTGTAGCTGAAGTTCTAACATGAATTGCAATGAAAATTCTGTAAGGTTGCTACAGTTTAGTGGGGAAGATGACAGCTGCTCTCAGGGTATACACTAACAAGTTATAATGCTTCACAAATATGTCATTTTTGATGAGTTGAAAGATCATGATGGTTTTAATGATGTAGACCTGCTGGCTTTAATTACACAAAAGGCTGATGGGAAGAGCAAGAAATACTAGAATTCTAGGTTACCTAAGCAGAAAGTTTTCCATTCTCTCCCACTCTATACATACATATGTAACAATTGCCTATAACTCCTGTAAGCCTTACTAACATTATTTGAGCTGCCTCTTATCTATGATTAGTTCAAACATTTGATTATTACATCTTTCCTTATAGATTCTAAGTACTGTTTTCTTAATGTTTTAAATGAATATTTCAAGCCTACTGCCTAGAAAGCAAAGACTTAAGAACGGCATTTATGAAGTTGGATAAATCAATTTATTACCCAAGTAATTCATTTCATTATAATAATATAATGATGAATCTTGCAGGTAGTATTAATCAGGTAAATTTTCTTTTTTTGAAAATAACAATCTTTAAACTAAGAAGGTAGAGAAACATTATATTAACAGATTGAATTTAAGCTCTGAATTTATCGGTCAGTTCAGTTTTCCAATTGTGTTTTATACCACATCCTTCTAAATGAATGAGCAGGTAAAAAAAAAAATCAGATTTTTGCATATATAAGAATATTGATTCTGGAGCCAAACTGCTTAACCTCAAATCTCACAAATTTCCCTTAAGGACTGTGAACTTGCAAAAGTAACTTAACTTTACTGTAAAAATAGGTACAATGATAATATCTATCTCCTAGTTGCTGTAAGGATTCAATGCCCTTAGAACAGTGCTTGGCTCATAGAAGCACTCAGGAGTTATTAGCTGCTATTATTATTATCACTGTATTTTACATAAAGCTAATTTCTAAAAAAAGTTTGGTTTGCTGCAAGTAATCTAAAAGACAATTCATTAAAAACTACTAAACAAATTAAGTAAGCGTTAAAAAGAAGAAATTAACTAGCTTCAGGTTAACCTTTGACCTGTTTATTCAAGGTGCATAATCCTTTAAAATTTAAATCACTGTGACCTGTCAGATATGGTGTTTTTAAAAAGGTACTACTATTATAGTCTTCTCCTAAATTATTTTCGTATTTTTAAAAATGATGGGAAAAAAGTGTTTCAATCACTTTTAGTAAGAAAATCTTAAATTTTCCTGCTCATGTCCAAAATTATAGACAGATTAAACCATTAGTAAAATTTTCTTAACAATCAGTTAAAGGATTAACATTTTCAACACATCTTTAAAATAATTATTCACAGTTTTATTTCAATGACAAGTTTTAACTTTTCTGCTCTAATACTAAAGGAAATTTTTTTAAAAATCAGGAATTCATGGTAATAATTTTCACCTAATAAAACTGAAATGGATAAATACCTAGTTGTTCTTTAAAAGTAAGGGATTTCCTTTTATGGTTTGTTTTCTTGAAGGCATATTGTACTATTAGACTTCCTAGTAACTGATACAAATAATATCTTAAAGCTCAAATTAAGGGCATAAGAAATCTTTCTTCAATCATGTAGGCTGTTGGTAAAAATGTACTATCCATGAAATGCAATATGCTACATAGTGGTAGAGGTAATGTGTAGAACAGCCCATAAACAGAACAATGACCAAAAGAAAAGAGTAAAAATGAAGTCCTGGTTTGACATCTGGGAGTCTGATTGACAGCTGCAGAAGTTTGATCTTTCCAGAACTGAAATATTCTCAATCAGAGGAGTCATCGAAGAAATCTGTTGATAAAAGGCTCGATATGTACCTTTACCCATCATACCAATGGAAAAAAAAAACCTTTAATGTACTATGTTTTAAGAGGTATACATGATTAAAAGCAATTAGAAACAATTTTTAAGAAGTAGAAAATTTAATAAGACTATTACAATACGACATGAGAGTGAAATAATTAGCAGTTAATGAGTATCTGTAGGACCTGGAAAACATGCTGCCCTCAGTCAGCAGTAATCATACCCTAAATGTAGTTGTTTATTCAATCACTTCGTGTACTCATCCAAGTCCTGGGCACAATGAAGTAAGCAAGACAGATAAAAGCTCAAATTTTTGTGAAGTTTTCATTCTATTGGGGCAAACAAATAACAACAAAATAATGCAATTTCAGATAACCAAAGGAAAATAAAGCAATAAATCCATTAGGAAAATAAAATAAGCTAAAGGGACTGAGGACAAGAAGACTTCTCTGAGGAATAAACATTTGAGTGGAGATTTGACTGATGTGCAGTGCAGGGGCAGTGTTCTAGTTTTAGTAAAGATGTGTTGGTCCAGACACACAAAGTGACTTCATCTGTTTGAGGAACAGTAAGCATCCAGTTGTAGCAGAAGCAAAAGAGTTCAGGGGAATCCAGCAGAAGACAAGATCAGAGATGTGCAAAGCAGGGGACAGATCATGGTAGGGTTTGGGTTTTATTCAGGGTAACGAGACTATATTAATGAATTTTCTAACCATAGCGCTGATTCATCCTTTAGAAAGACCACTCCAGCTACAGTGAGAACTGAGTGATGTGAAGCAGAGGCAAAGAGACCCATTATGAAGCTACTGCTGCCATGAAAGAGACGATGACAGGCGTACACTAGGGCTAGAGCAGTGAAGCGAAAGAAGTGGTTGGACGGGGGATTTGAAAGGATGGAAGGCCTGAATTACTGACACGCTGGTTTCAAAATATGAGAAAAAGAAAGGAATTCAAAATTTTGGCTTGAGCAAAACCTAGCAGTTGATTTGGAGGCAGCATCCAAATTACTTAAGTCTTTACTGATCACGCTGAAGGTTTTCGTTTTATCTGAAAAGCAGTAGGAAGCAATGGAGTAGAACAACAGCGAAAAAGAGATAGGATTCCAGACATATTTTGCTGATTTAACACACCAGGCTCAGCAAGCATATACCAGACCCCTCAACATTGCCTCCAGCCTGAGCCACAGCTGATTCCTTCTAGAAAGACTAGGAGCCAGCCCACCAATCACAGATTAGGATTTCCTCAGAAGTGCAATGAATCCAAATTAAAGTTTATTCTTGAGACACCTTGGTGCAAATATATCCTTCTTCCTTATTCCCTTACTCCAAAATCCATTAAGAAACTGCTGGAATTAAATTGGCAACTGTGACTATCTAAATTCAACCACTTTACATCCCTGCCATCTTCAGTTCTGCCAACGATACACACTCCTTTGGCCATCTATCTTTTCCCAAACTCTCAACCTCAATCTGCTGTCACCTCTTCTTCTGACCCAACTTCCCACTGTGCCCCCAGAGTCCCCTTCACATGATTAAAATACTCCTACGTCCTTATCCTTGTCAATGGACACTCCCTTTTGTCAACCACCTTTAACTCACATGTTGCTCTTGCAAAATAATACCACATGCAGTGAAGCCCTTCAAAAGGCAGCTCCTCATTCTCCAAATCCTCACATACTTCAGTCAGGAACAGAGAGATACTACATGTTTGTGGATGCTAAAACTGAATATAAAGAAGCACAATTCCAATGAAATTGAGAAAATAACTCTAAATTCACAAGGAAGAATAAAGGATGAAAACAATCTACCTAAATTGTAAACACTAGAGGATTAGTCCAAAAAACTAAAATATAGAGGGTACCATGAAATCTTTATAAATTCATGCTGCAGAAGAATACTTAATGCCTTCTGGGAATATTCATATCAGTAAATAAAAAATATTATTAAGCAATGTGTAATGTATAAAACCAATTTGATTAAAGAGGAAGAAGAGAAATGGGGGGAAGAATGTGTGCTAAGAAAAACAGGTTATAAATAAAATATACCAAAATGTTCTAAGTGGTAGAATAATTAATAACTTTTTGCTTTTTGTACTTTTCCTATTTTCCTTAACGTCTATAATAAATGTATTTTTATAACTAGAAAGAAAGGGCCAAAGTAAATAATTTTTTAAATCTATAATCATAACACACCAAAACTGCTCTTCAATGAAATTTACACAGGCTTGTTTTTTAGACTTTTCATATCCTTGTTTCCTAATAAAAAAAAACAAAAACACAAAACCACCTCCAAGTCCTTCGGTTGACTGCCCAGAACTTCAGAATCATTAACCAAAAACAAAAAACCTCGAGATCTCTTCTAAGCATATCGTTCACTTAACACAAGAATTCTGCAAGGAGTTTAATAAATCTTTCCAACTAATTCTTCTCTTTAAAATACTTAAGTACACTATCCAAAGTAAATGGCTATATGCTAGAGTCCCTTAACTATAAAACTTAGGTGTTACTGTTTTATACAGTGCTGTAAAAAATCTATGCATTCTTTATGCAGAAGAGGCTACTAGTCATTTGTTTACTTTTAAATATTCAGTAAAGGAGATTTTCACATTAATTTCTTTTAAGGAATATATATTCATCTGTATACAGTTTTGGCTAATACACAAAAGTAGTAACATTAAAAATACTGGAAAGTCATCTTTCGCAATTAAATTACCAAAAAGGAAAAAAAATTAAGAACAGGAACTTTACCCTTAAGGTAAGTAATGCTACTACAATGACGTTTCACATAAAAATAAAGAATGACACTACATCCAAGAATAATCTCTAATAACTCTAAGGCATTCCTTTCAAAAGATTCTCTTTTTATCAAGGCTTAATCTGTTAAATTTTGCTTTGGAAATAATACTTCTATCATGATTCCATCAAAATGAACACTTAGAAGAGAACCTGCACGGACAGAAAAACATTTTGGGATATATTTCACTGCATTATGTAACATGAATATGCAAATCTCACTAGCTTATATTTTCCACTAGAATTTTTTCTTTTAAATCACACCTGAAAAGTTGTATGTCACTTCCAAGAAAGAATATTCTTGAAAAACACAATTAATGAACTCAGTATTATGGCTGAGAAGAATTTACTATCTTCCTATCTAAGCAAAGGACAGCACTAGACGCTTTTCAAGTCACATTTAATAGACGCGGTATTTGTCCTCCAGGAATCTTAGGTCTCCATGAGTTATTGTGCCAAATTTCTTTCCCAAACAATAGCCAATGTAATCTTCCCTGAAATTCATTTCAAATTAAAAGATAGCTTCTCGTTGTTAGTAACTTATATTCAAATTTGCCTTTTAAAAAAGTGAGAGCGGATCTAAAAGCAGTGCTGTATTAGATAAGCAAGTGAACAAATCTAACAAACGGACAAGGCAGGCGCTGAGGGCTGAAGGAGGAGGAAAGGTCGGAGGGAGGCCATGGCAGAGGCAGTCTGGGTCAGCACTTACAACATCCCTCTATCACCAGGAAGGGGGTTTCTCCCTGGTCAGAGGCCACGCAAGGCTGCTACTGCGGCCCAGGGCTTTGTTAAAAGAGGAGAGTGAAAGGCTGCAGAATCTAAGAAGCAGACCTAAGGCTACAGATTTAAATTTCACTACTTAAAAGTTTATAATTATAGTTAAATTTCTTTTTATCTACACTGGTTCCAAATAGCTTTATTCCTCTAGTTCATGTTATCTTGATTCAGCACCTGAATCACCTAACCTTTTATTAATTTAGATGAATCAGATAACTCTGACTTCGCAGAGATTATATTAATTTTAACACTGTGGGAAGTTGTCTTTCTATGCAGAGTAACTAAGCAAAATTCCACATATTTTCAAAGCTTTCTGTATATAAATGTTTTCCATTCACCTCAGAATCTTGGTTAAAAATGGACTCTAAACTTTAAAGTGAACAAAAGATTTATCTTCTTCAAACCTGGACAAATTTAAAAGGAAGCTAAAGTCATTTACTTTCATACAACCTAAAACAACACCATTAGCACTGCAGTGACAGAGCTCCAAATTACAAAGGTCAGTTAAGTAAAAGAAGGCAAAGGCAGCAGAACTCAGATGCTAAGAATAAAAACAAAAATAGATCCAATGCAGCATTTTGCCAACGAAGATCAATGAAAACAGCTGCTCAACATAACATCACTTATAGCATTACTTCCTATGTTGTTACTGAGAGACCCTTTTGATTCCAGCATTCCCTCTTTGCTAGGTCTTAACACTTGCCTTAATAAAACCAATACTTAAGCCAGAATTTTCCATTATCTGAAGTAAAAAGGTAATCCATCGCCTCAGCTAAAAAGTACTTAGCTACCAAGGAGAAAGTGAGAAGATAATGATAAAAATATAAACAGAGGGGCAAGGGAGGAACGGCATCAATATTTTAACTACTGATCTAAGCAATAAGGCAGCAGGTTGTCTTTCCGATCAAAACTACTTTTATAAAGTAATACAAATGCCCTTGCTTGCTCAACAGTAAAGGTCTTCAAAAGAATCAACCGGGAGGATAAGGTATAGGGAATCACGATCTTAACCATAAAAAAAGTCTAAAATGTGAATGAATAATTATCATGTAATGCTGTAATTCTAAGTAGAATAAACAATCCTATTGCCTATACTTATGACAGTACAGCAATTAATGAAACAGTTAATGTAACAAATTAATAATAGAGATAATGGCATGTATATCTGCTGAGATTTTATCAGCAGAAAAAAATAAAATTCAGTGCATAGATTGTAAAAAAGCAAGCTAGTAGATCAAATTATCTGGTAGCTCTGTTTTCTTACCTGTAAGGACAGCTTTTGCTGAAGGATCTGCCAGGTCCAGGGCTGATTTCCCATCAGTGTTCCGAATGTTTGGATCAGCTCCGTGCTGCAGCAGCACTGTGCAGGGAAAGCAGAAACAGTATCTCACCTCAGGGACACAAAGATTATTTACTGGTAAGTATCGCCTTGGCATGGTGTACGCATAAACATACATTGCACAATTTTTTTCTCTTTCAAGGAAAAAAAAAAGATGAAAGAAAAAGAAAGAAAGGGGGGAGAAAAAAACACTGCAGCAAAGGATCCTCTCTAGAGTAAAGCAAAGTTGGCAACTTGTGATACAGTATCATCACATGACTTAACATCATAAACACAAAACTAGAAAAATTTTGCAAGAGACAGTTTGGGTTTGCCTCCTTGAGGCAGCAGGCTGGAAAGCTGTGTGCTCGCTGCCTCACACTGTGAAACACACTAACTGTGAGCCTGCCCTGTCTTCACTACCACTGTGGCTGCTTGTTGCTGCCGCTGCTTCACTGCTGAATTTCCCACTGCTTCCTCACCTCAGAATAGTTGTCATATTGTGCAAGCCTTTTAGTGCTCACCGCTTACATATATGGAAACTCACCAGAACATACTGGCTTGTTTCCAAGAAGTTTACCCGACATAGTAATGCTTGCAACTCTGGTCCCCTGCAGCCGAGCTGCAGAAGAGAACTGCCTTCCACAATAATTCTTCCCATCAAAGATGCTTAGAATCAGAATCGATCACTATAATATATGCTGAGGAAGGAACACTATACATGCTATATCGGGTAAAAAGGAGCTACAGAGAATTCTGAGACATGGGGCTCCCAAAAGAGAGAGAATCACTGTTGAAGTAAAATCCAGATATAATTTATTAATCCAAAACATTTCTCAACTACATTTGATGTGTGTATGTATAGGGACAGAGGGTGAGGAGAGGGCGGGTGTTGCTGTAACACTACCCAACCAATGGTTAAACTACTAAATATATTAAAAATTAGCCCAATAAGCAAGGTTCAATTACAAGTTGCTCTAACAGTTCAAATCTAACACAGGATTCTGTGTACTCCTGGAGAGAACAGAAGTTGTTACCATTTACCACTATTCTACAGCATAAATTTGAAACAAAGCAGAAATATTAAATTCCAATAAATGGTTAATGCTATATGACTGTTGATGAGTCCCAAATTTTCATTCATTTACAGTTCCATGCGAAAATACATACATTCTTTTTAGAATATTTGGAAGGCAATTCTCATGTATTTTACTAAGTAATAAATCCTGCTGTTTATAAAGTTCTTCGTCTTCCTTTAATGCATAAACTATCAAGTCAATGGCTTTATTGTAAGATACAAAGGAACAGCCTTATCTAGAATAGGGACAGCTGCATCAGCATCTCCTGCAGTAAATCTTGGGTACTTTCAGACTTCGGATAATAAAAACTAGTCATGGCCTGAGAAGATGCAGTGAGATCTTACTAACATTTTCTGTATTATTTCATTCTTGACTGTAAACCATGAACTAATTCTTTTCCAGGTGTTTATAAAATGACTCTAGAGTAAGCAGCATAAAATAGCAAGTATCACAATATCAAACTATAGTTATTCTTTCATCATAATGAATAAGCTTTCATGCAAATATATATATATTTATTCCAAGAAGAAATCCCAACATGAAGATTTGGCTTGTAAAGGGTCTTTATCATGAAGCAGGCTCATGGATCAAATGTAAAGATGACAGCTATCACTATGGTTGTATTTAGATGCCGAGTGATCACACGTGAAAGGTAGGAAAACAAAGAAATAACAGCTACCATGAAAAACCGAGTTTTTTACTGCATACTATGTGAACTTCAGAACCTGCTTTAAACAAGAAATAAAGCAGTATGTTAATTTAACAAGCTTTGACAATAATAATAATGGGAGTCCTTTGCAGCTGAATGACTGGCAGAGGCAAAACACTGAAAGCCTTGTTATTCCTCCAAAAGTCACTAAAACCTCAACCTTTTTTGTTGTAACAGGTATTTTACCTACTATATCTTGGCTATTTTGCAATAGAAATCTGCCATTTCAGTTTTGTTTTGTTATAGGTGACTTTTAACAGTAATCATTTACTAGAAATATCTGTTTTCTAAACATTTTTGAGTCATATGTTTCTCTTTCATTGGACATGAACACAAAGAAACATCATTGCAGAGTAACGTAGCAACAGGGAAGAAGCTGAATCTTCCAAACCAGATGCTGATAACAAACCCACACCTGAAAATATCCAACCATTTTAATTCACCAGATATGGGTGAAAAAAGCAAAAAACAAAACTCAGTAGAGTTAAGAGTTTTAGAACTAATAAAGGTATCTATGTGACCAGAAGGGATCTAAACTTACCTAACTTTATAAAAGGGCAGCACTGGGAAGATTAAATGAGAACAAAAACTGGCATCAAGAATACTAAGCACAGAGCCTGATAATACATATCAGGTAATAATAACATTTAAAGCATCATTAAAAATGTAGACCCTGCTGTGACAATGAATCTATGTATATTCATGTATAACTGAAAAATTGTGCTCTACACTGGAATTTGACACAACATTGTAAAATGACTATAACTCAGTAAAAAAAAAAATGTTAAAAAAAATCTAGACCCTGTTTATACTCTCAATTCTACCACTACTAATTCAATGCTCATCCCAGAGTCAAACATTCAGATCTTAATTTTTCCTGTTAAAGGTTCAGAGAGTAAATATATTAGGCTTTGTAGATCACATGGTCTCTGTCTCAACTACTCATCCCTGCCTCAACACCATTATTGCAGAGGGAAAGCAGCCACAGACAATACTTAAAAGCATGTGTGTAGCTCTGTTTCAATAAAATTTTATTTATTGAAATTTGAATTTTATGTAATTTTCATGTATCAGAAAATATTATTCTTATGAATTAAAAAATAATTTTTTAATGTAAAAACAATTCTCAGCTTATAGGATATACAAAGAACAAGGGGTGAGCTGGCCTTGGAATACTGTTTGCCAATCTCGACCTTGGGCAGTGATATACAAAATGTGGTCTATGGACTGTTCTAGTCAGAGAACTCTTTGTAATCCATCAACATTGAGATAAGCACAGAAATTAGGAGGAAGCATTTAGAACTGGGCATGTCATTTTAATCTACTTCCTCATGTACCTCATCTTCATTGCAGTTTACAAAATTGTTGGTCTCCCATGAACTGGGGAAGAAAAAACTCGTCCTTGACCACAGCCAGTTTGAGAAGCACTGAGCGAGGGCATACGTAAAATTCTCTGGACCTCAATTCCTGAGTCTCTAAAGTGAAGGAGCTGGAATACGTAGATGATTTCTAGATATTGAAGGTAGGCCTCAAGTCCCTGATAATGCTTTCAGATTTATATAGCCTAACTTGAAGCATCCCTAAAATCTTTAAAAAAAAAAAAGTTTATTTATCCTAACACTTTATCTAACAAAAACAAAACAAAAGTTGAGACCACGATCAATGAAAGTTGTAGGATACATACTAAAAAGTCCCAAACTACTCCCCAAGCAATTCCTCAAGGTGATTTCGGTTTCATACTATTCTCTCTGGAGATTTGGGGGACTACTTTCTAATACTAGAAGAACAGCACATGCACGAGGCAAAGATATTAACAATGGCTTTCAAGAATGTCACTTGTACTTAAAGTGGTGACATGCAGGACTCAATACTGGATGCTTCAAAATTTGCTTTCAGGGTTCTGTGCTACCAAAAGGAATAATAAAATGTGACTACTGATACATAGCACAATTCATCTTGTAACATCAATATATATTGACAGCACACTAATTAGAACAGATTCTTCTTCAAAAGTAGCACAAATGTCTGAAGCAAAGTTCCTAAAATACACAATCAATATACAAAATAAAGTTTGAAAGGAAAACAAGGAAACTAAAATCTGAGTAACATTCAGTATGTAAATTAAGACTTCTGTGGCCATTCAAAAGCTCTTTGTGCTACCTTTAACCAATTAGGGCATCATCAAATCCCAAATCCCAAATGACTTGGCTATATGTCTCAAATCCATTTATCTCCTTTTGAAGTTAGAAGGATGGGGGAAACAGAGCAGCTAGCATAACAACAGATAGCTGAAACTAAGGTCAAATCACAATATTCAAAATGATATTCTTAAAAGAGCCATGGCAAGGACATTTGATTTTCCTATTTCTGGTGCAGGCATTCAGCTACAGCAAGCCAGGTCTGGAAAACATGCCTGTAGCCTGTGACCAATTCAGTAGAGACTAAAATTGATTCATTTAATTCCACAAAACTATTAAATTTAAACATTCACATCATTTTATTTCTTTCAAATATTTCCATTTTGGATGGTTCTGGAATGGCAGTAATGGCCCGGGCATCTGGCAAACATATATACCCATCTTCAGGGTAAGGTACCTTCATCAAAGGCCAAAAAATCATTCCTATAAATAAATGTATAGTAAAATATCCAGCACATATCCAAGATAACCAGGCACACAGGTAATCTGAAATGCAGAAGCAACAACTAGCACCAATAGACAACATAAAACCAGATTCATAAAAACTTCAGATGCCAGAATTACCAGGGATTGTAAAGAGAACTATGCATTTTGTGTTTCATAAAACAAAAGACAAGCTAAAAGATCTACGTTAGAGGAAAGAGTGATAAGGCGAATCTGTAAAAGAACCAAAAGAGAAGCTCTAGAAATAAATATACAATAATAAATTACAAATGAGGGCTCCAGTACCCAGCCATGATGGAGTAATCAGTAACTATCCCTCCCTCCCTGACACAAGCAACTGTAAAATTGGACAAAATATTTGAAGCAACTAACTGAAGGCAGTGATCAATAGTAGAGCTACACTATGATCCTTGAAAGGAAACTCAAAAGATGGGTACCATAATCACTCAGCTCTCTGCCTGAGACAATCTGCCAATAGCGTGCACATAACTAGAATCAGAACAGAACATGGTGGTCATACTGAACTGAGAAAACAGAGATCTGAATTCAAGGCAGATGAACTGGCTGGAATGTGCAGGAAGGGAAAGTGGAAAGGGTGCACCCGTGCAGAGAAGAGGCCTCAGATGTCTGCGTAGGGGTCTCCTGTCATAACAAGGCTGTGGGCTAGCCTGTATACGTGTAACACAAGAACACCTGAGGCTTAACGGGCAGTAGCTGTTATGGGTTGAGAGCATGACACAGTCAGCAGAGGTGGACAGTAGTGCTGAGAGAAACTGGAATTCTGGCCTTAAGAGAGCATAAAGAGATCCTAAAAACATCTTGTTAACATACTTGGTTCAGAGCTGAGAAAACACAAAGGTCATTCTAGTTATGAATAAGCACATACCTTAGAGCAGAGGGTTG